GTTGACGTAACAAGGTACGGTGCTGGTCGTTTCCAACGGGTGCAAAAATTCATTGATTAGAAATGCTGCTTAATCCTTTGAGTCATGCAGCATTTTCACTTTTTCTTTCTTCAGTAATTCTCCCTCCACTCTTTTTCAGTATCTTCAGTCCCTGTCAATAAATAGTGCAGCGATGAGTGAGGATAATCGAAATAGATTCTGAAAGATAAGAGGTCCAACGAAAATGCCACACAGGTTCTAGGACTTTTTTCTATCTATCAGAAAAGGAGCAATTTTTATCTCAAACGTTTTTTCGTCAATCAACCACAGTCACGCTTTCAAATACATCCATCTCTTCACCTCTGTGACCAAAGTTTTACCGTTTTGCCAATTACACATGAACCGGCGTTTTTAATTCTAAATTTTAAAGCGACAACCGAAAAAATTGTGAGAAAACTAAAAGGGTTTTTTTCATACCTTTTCGCTCTTTCGTCTTTGAGACTTGTCTTCCACCAGTCCTTGTTTCTGTAAGAAAAGAAGAATCTATTTCCAGGTGCTCAAACAACAGAATCACTAGGCAGTGATTAAAATGCAAAACCGACTGGTAATTGACATGCACAGGTTAAACTTCCAGCAAACGATCTACGTTTGGACGCCCTCTATGCGTAACTAGAGTATATACGCACTGAAAAATGGAATCTAGTCATTTATGTCTTTTCGAAACTTTTGGGCACACTCTAATGGCAGACTAATATTATTACATTAAAACAGGAGGTTTCCATCCTCCATGGTTCCGTGTGAAATACGCGGAATTTTACCTGTAACTTTTGAAGACGTCGGGTTCTCCACTCCCTATCAACAGTCGATAAATTTATATCATTATTAAGTTGCAAAAACGTAACATGATACTAACATACTGCCATGGAAATAACTCTGCGCATCGTTCATGTAGGTTTGGGCATTGAGAACAGCGATGATAAATCCACGTTGATAAGTCCTCAGAACAAATCTGTAACAAAAATGGTTTCCTACCCTTTTTTCCAACATAATTAAGATGCACGTTTTTTGCAGGAAATGAATCAAGTATAAGAGAAGAAAGGAGAGAAAAGTAAACATATTTTATGGTTGTACGATAACAAAAAATACCTCTTGTTTCTCTTCAGCATCACTCACGATTATTGCGTCTGAAAAAGTTCGAGAGATTTGTAACAGCCAAAAAGGACAGTTCAAAGTAAACAATCTAGAAATCGAGGTGCCGACAGAAAATCTTCACAAGTATAATGGAGATAACCTTGCTTTTCAACCGTGTGAACAGCTTTTTTGTTGTTTCTTTGTTTATGTTTAATCTGGTAAATTTTAATTGACGAGTTCTTGAAATACTAAAGGGCGGGGGAGATCAAGTTCATCAACATTCTTAAGATTACCTTGCTCAGCATCTGTTGGTACATCACCTGAAGGAAAAGGTAACACGGCTAATAAGTGGCACTGAAAAATTACATTCTGAGCTTTATCGTATTATTTCAATCTCTGATTGCTTGATAGCCAGATTGCTCGTTGGTTTTTCTCTTAAGTCTCAACGTGGGGAAGGGCATATAAGATTTTGTCACATATAGACGATGCAGGCGAGCATGCTTGACAACATTCATCATAGTTTTAAGAAAATTGGAAAACGCTGGCATAAAATGAGGTCAAAACTTCATCCTGCGAGTAAAAAGATGTCATAGAAGCAACGTAAAAAAGCCATGAAATATACGGGATGCTGGAAAAATTGTAACTTGCCTTGAACATCGCTAGATGAGCTTGTCTCGCCTATGTCTGTTCCTCTTGGGGAATCATCTAGAACAGGGAGCTTCAATAAGTATTTTGTCTCATTTAGTGAATTTTCAATCTCTGAGTATTATTTTATCAGATTCTTTTGTTAAATGCTTCCTTTTTGATAGTTTCTTACTCCAAATAAATCATTATCTAGAAGACACAAAAAAATCGAACTGGATGTGAAATTTGTATGGTTGACTTTCACTGATAACATGTTTGGTTTGGTTGTTTTCATGGTAAAACACTTGTACTTAAATCAATTAATTCAATTCATTAGTACTTACTATAGATGATGTACTGGCAGTCAGTGATGAAAAAGCTGAAAACAAGAAAATAAAGCAATAATCATTTGCGAAACAGAATTATCACAGAAGCCTTGTGTACTTTTGTACTTGTTGTGGTGTATAGACAGTCCTAGTTCAGTCAAGGTTGTTTTACATAAAGATTTTAAAAACATCAAAGAGGCCTTCAAAGCAACACAATTCTCTTCAAACAGGCTATAGTCTCCTCCGAAAGACGCTGACAACCGATATAAATTGGTAGAAAAAACAACAATTGCCCATAAGGGCAGTTCACTTTTAGTTCCTCAAGTATTGTTCCTTTGATTTGAAATATACATGCATCGTCTATCACATTTTAAATGAGAACAGGAAAGGTATATCTATATATTTTCAAATTACGACGTTTTTGAAAACGTGTGTAGTATATATTTGTACTTTGTAAGAATGCAAGACCTTTTTGGACTCTAGGTTCTCCCACTTATTTGCACAAAATGGTATGGGCAAAGTAAAATTAAAACTACTGTTAAAAGAGCATATCAGTTTTTTGCATCGTATAATTTTACCTTTATCAAGTCCACCCAAAATTTCAGCATCAAGGTAAC